ATATATATATATTGTAAATAAAATTCTCTTTTTTGAATTTTTTTGGTGCACTTTAAGTGTATTTATTTATTAGTCAATTTATATAATGTATTTCCGCTTTTATTTTTAATTATGTCAGTTTTGGTCCTCCATACTGCAGAAGCCTGATAATCACCCATTCATTCAAATCAGGCGTGCTTGAGCAGAGGAAAAAAGTAAAACATGCAGGGCTGCGGCCCTCGAGGACCAGGATTGCCCACCCCAGATTTAAAAGCTCAGAACTCGTTTAGTTTAGTTAGTAAAATCTGACCAGTTCTTCACACTGAGTGTGCTGCAGGCGCCTGGCGATGTCCAGAGGAGTTTCTCCTGCTTCGTTTGCTGAGGAGACAAAATCAGAAACATTTAAAGGGTCGGTTTTAATTGGACAGTCTAATTGGAGAGTCTATTCGTAGCCGATGATTAGAAGCTAAATCGGACACTGTAAGGGGACATGGGGAAAAATTGAATAAAATGATCCTGAGAAACTTTTGTAATATCTTGCCAAAGTAAGTCAGGATCCATTTATTCCTTCCCCACGTGTCCTTATGGGCTCAATAATAATCTGTATCACAGCAGAGTTCAGTTCTTACTGGAGGAAACTGAAGCTTTCCCCCTCAGCAGCAGTTTGAGACACTCGCTGTTGTTCATCAGGCAGCAGTAATGCAGAGCGGTGCTCCCTTTGCTCGTCTGCTTGTCCAGATTTACGCTGAAACGAATTCAACACCGGGTCAGAACCACGTGCTCAGACAGGAAGCCTCCAGCTGCGCCGCCTGACCTCACCTGTTCTGAGCCAGGAAGTCCACGATGTGCAGAGAGTTCCTGTCCACCATTCGGACCGCCAGGTGGAGCACCGTCTCCCCAGGTTCCTGACAGAAACAAACCCAGCAGCATGACTCACGCACACATGACCCGACTCGCAGCTGCAGCTGGAGCCAGAGGCAGAACAAAAGCATGATGAAATACCAAGAAGACAAGAGGAAGAAGTGGGATCGTACGTGCTCGTTTGCCTGTGGGAGGACCTCCATCAGGTCCGCCCCCTCGGCGTAGACCTGGATGAGCGACAGGATGTCCCGGTTCCGGACGGAGTCGTACAGCGCCTGCAGCCTCAGCTCGGCGTCAGAAAACAGCCGCTTGGCGAAACGCTTCTCGGTGTATTTGGCTGTGATGTAGTCCTTCCTCATCTGCCTGGAAACCCCAGAGAGACACATCAGAGCCGAACACTCGCTGCTGGTTAACGCGTCACCCTGACCTCCACTTACATGTCGCTCTTTGGATCCGGTTTGGTCACGTCCTGCGCCGACAGATCTGCCTCCATGATCTCGTTGAAGTTGGCATTTCCGACGTTCTTCGCCAACTACAACCAAAACCCCAAAGAGTTTCTTTGTTTAGAGAGCTGTGGATTTAACTTTATGATCTGGACTGTTGGTGATAAAGACGTATGGATTTTGTACTCACTTATGTTAAATAAATCTTTTACATTTCGTACATCCATTTTACTTTTCACTTGTTTCATTTCCTCTAGGGCTGTGAAATTAATCGAGTTAACTCATATTGATTAATTTTAAGTGCTGGGCAAATTTTTAATCTATGAAAAATTTTAATTGCGATTAATCTAACTTTTTTCATTCTTTTATTTTTGTATTTATTTATTTATTTTTACAAACAATGGGCCTCATGCAAGAACCGTTCGTACGCACAGATTTGTTCTTAAGTTGTGCGTACGAGTGATTTAGGAGAATTTGTGGCATTC